TAAATAATTTTAAATTATTACAGCACGTACAGGAAAAATTACAGAGATACATTTATTATAATATGGTTATAATGGACATCCAAGAAAAAAATGGGCTCCAGTCTTGGATCCTTTTGGTTTACTTTAATTAGGATTGTGCTGTCGTGTATTTCTTTGTCATGTGAGAAATTCATAAAAAAAAAAGCCTATTCTCTGCTAGGTAAGTTTATTATTATTACGACGTCGTGTTTTCTACAGGCTACTGATTTTGTTTTATGGAAGATTTCTAGATCTCAAATTTTATTATTTTATCATGATATGAGTATTTTATTATGATATGAGTATTTTATTATGATATGTATATATATATATATATATATATATATATATGAAAGATGCCTTTACGTATTGTTCGTGAGTATATTAAAATAACTATTATATAATAAAAGTATAATTGATATAAAATAATATGTAAAATAAAACTTATTGTCATTATGTTAAAATGATAGTAAGTAGACTCTGAAAAATAAATATTTAAAATTTTTTTTAACAGGCTATATATTAAAATGAAAATTTTCTTTGTAATTGACTTAATTTTAAATATATTATTTGAAATAAATCTTATCAGTTAATTAATTATCAATGCAGATATTATTTGTATTATATCATTATCACATATATTATCATAATTTTCTGGTAATAAATGTTACTTCTACAATGATTTTTTGTTATCTATTTTTCTTAACGATAAAATTAATACAAACGATAAATATTTGTAATAATAATATATTAAAAATATTTTGTGTATTGAAAAATAAAATTTTAGTACACATTAAAACGAATAGGTTAAATAAATATTTTTTCAATCTAACTATAAAAAATTATATCGAAACCTTTATTACTTTACATTACATACTTTACATATATATTAGTATTTTTTTTTTTTTTTTTTTTTAATTATTTCTAAATATATTATGTTAATAAAACAATTACTCGGGTTATAATAATTTAAAAATTTTATACAGTTAAAGCTAATATATATATAACTTTTTATAATATATTTTTTATTTTTCTTAAATTACTTTTTCTTAAATTTCTTAATAGAGAGAAAAAGATAGTATTGAAATTTGTAATAGAACGTCGTTCAAATTCGTTAAATCATCGACCTACTACACATTGCTGCCAATAAGATTTTCTTAGATATGTGTATTTTTGCCAGCAGAACCAGCCTTTCTCACGGTCGTAATGGTCTGACATAAAAAGGCAAGAGGGTATAATGAGTACATCAACGTCTCTTTTATTTTTATGTTTTTTTTTGTTTGAAAAATAAATTGTAGAATTGGTGATCGTTAATTGCGCTACGTTATTTTTTTCATTATTTTCATTATTACGCAAAAGTTATATAATGTATTAGTGTTAATTTCAATTAAGTTAACTGTATTTTGATATCCTAAAATTCAGTAGGATGTGTGAACTTTAATTAAAATAATTAAAGACGAGAGAATTCATATTTATTAAAAAACAAAAGTAATTATAAATAGCTTATAAAAATAGAGAATATATATTTTTTAATATAATAATGAATCATATATAGACATAATGATAATGGAATATAATATATATAATAAAACAATTCTTTCAAATAATTTTTATTATTACGTAGTGATGCAAATTATAAACTATCTTGATTGTTCAATTATTAGAATATCTTATTTCAATTCGACAACTTTTTATTTTTAAATGTTAAATATGTATGAAAATTCAAATGAATGTACAATACAATAAAAGCGGAAAGTGATGCACAACATTGATGTAGATAATAAAAATTATCAAAATTAATTTTTAATATGCCTCTAAATTTTATTATACGTTTTAATTTTTACTAATGTTGGTTATACATCAACTTCTTTTCAAAACGAGTACGTGTATATTTTAATATTTACAATCTTATCATTACACCCAGCTTGCTTATAAATTAAATTTAATACTGATTATTTTATTCTATAACGAAGTTTTTATTTGCCGATATTATTCAAGTATTAAATAATAGATTATTAAATGTCTTCCTTTATCGAGTCGCACATTGTGATTAAAATCTCGAATACATTTGAACAAATTTCTCTTATGATTTTCATTATTGGGAAATTTTGCAATTCTTTTGCAGAATTCTCTTAGAATTTCTTACAAATTGATCAGATGTAATAGGTAATTATTCTTTTATGGTGCCTTAGTGCTATAAAGTATAGTATTTAATAATATTATGAAAAAATATTAGAATTAATAAAAATTGCACAAATTATGTGTATTCGACAGATTTTAATAATTTTCTGATACTGAATAAAATAATATTAGAAGAATATGAGAAATGGCCACAATAAATGGAGCACTGAAGCTATACATTTATATATAATACATAATATAAAGCCTTTTATATTCCAATTAAATATATACATTTTCAAATGATATATTTACACCATAAAATGTAAATGTACGCATTAAAAAATTAGCATTTATTTGTAAAAAAAAAAAAAAAATGTTTAATAAGATGTATATTGATCTATAAGCTTTCTAACATTCTACCAAATAAGCTAATGCCACATTTATAGAAATAACGAACTTATATATTCTTTTATTTATAATTAAAATAAATATTTCTTCATTTAAAAACAGAGAATATTAATGTTATTGAAATATGCGAATTTTTCTTTTAGTGTAATACTCATCTTTTCAAATTCAAATAAACTGAGTATTACCGATCTACCGTATGAGCTCAAATATTATGTTTTTAGAAAAAAATGAGTTTTTATCTAATCTTGATTAAATTAAGATTACACTGGAAAAAGTTCTTTGTTATCGGAAAGTATTTGGAGGTATAGAAGTTAATTTCATGTTTCCCACATGAAAATATTTTTCAATTGAATAATTATGTTCAGTATTTTGCAAGTATTTAATAATCATTGATAAAAATAGATAAAAACAACATTATAAACACTCATCTCAATGTATGTATGTATATATATATATATATATATATCAACAATAATAATAAATGTATTATTATTAAAAAATTATACGCCAAATATTAAAAAAAAACAGAACAACAATTATCATCATGAAAATGTTTTATAATTATTATTTTGTATTGTAAGATATAACTTAGTAATGCATTCTTATAGTACCGTGTTGCATTGCAAAATCTAATTGAACTTATTTTTTGTCATTAAGTTAATAAATTCAAAACATTTATATATGTTCAATATTAAACGTGAATATTCAATTATTTTTCAACCCAATAATTTTACTATATAAAAAAAGGTAAAATTGTTAAATAATAAATACAAGAAACAACTTGATGATTATCATAACTAAAAAATTCAGTTATTTATTGTGGAATAATTATACATGTATAAATCTATGCATGAATGACAAAAAATTCTAACATTATTTTATTTAGTCGTACTCAGTATAAAATAAAATAATAAATAAAACTATTGATAAAAAAAATGTTCTTTCCTTTATTTGCCCAGTTAATAATTATTTAAAATAGTATTAGATTTGATACCATTGAATTTCACGATAATCCGAGAGAAATTTAAAAGAATTATTTTGCGAGATCCAAAAGAGAAACTGTACATAGTAAAATGTAGTGAAAGAACATTTGAATTTGTTACTACGCGCATTCGTTGAAAGTTCGATTATGTTTACGTACACATACATAATCAAACTTTCAAGGAATATATCATATATCTTATCTAATACAGTGTTTATAGCAAGCACTAAATAATTGGAACGCACCTTCTTTTAAAGGTACAATCGAATTTTAAACGCCATTTCTTATAACGTACATACATTTTCAATCATTTTGATTTTTAAGTTGATTTTCTTACGCTCTCTGGTCTTGCTTTTTTCATCTTTCGAAAGTGTATAAAAATATTTTAAAAATCGATTAATTATTTATGAAGAAAACTATTTTAATTAATATTCATGTAAAATATAATATTTAGGATTTCTCTCTAGATTGTATTGAAGTTAAACATAATTTTCATTTTATAAAAAAGTAAAAATGATATTAACATAATTGAAATTTTACTAACGCATATTGTTTATTAATGAAGCACTTGTATAGTAGCTATAAATATAAATATATTATTCATTATTTTCATAACATGTCTTATAAATATTCCATGCAATATTATTTTTTGGAAATCCGACTACGTACGTATGGAATAAAAAGTTTAAAGCGAACAATTTTTAATAAATGCTTTAATTAGTATTACAATTATATAGTCTTCAATTATATTATTGCTTCTGAAATTTAATTATTTTTTATTTTTTAAAACTAAATTTTCATCACATGATATGAAATTAGCGAATGATACTATTAATATAAAAACAAACATTTCATGAGAATTAACAAAATCAATATAAGTTTCATTTGAAAGTTCAATATTACTTTATTCATCGAGCCTTACACCTCTGCACAATGGATTCATTTTATATGGGAGAAAATATAAGAAATTGCATGAAATGATACAGTGATATAAATAATTATTATACTAAATAATTGTATTTAAATTGAAGATAAATTTCTAAAAGTACACACGAATATATTGGAGATATGGATTTGAATTAAATTATAGTGCTTATGACTATCATTATTCGATCAATTTCAATGAACATTTCTCAAGAATAATTCGGATCGATGAATAATGTAGGGGAAAAAATGCACTCGGCTACGTGAAAATAATCTCAGCCCGTTCTCATAAATGGCCAATGAAGATCTCAAATATTCTTACAACGCTTGATTTTTTTCCCTTGCTTCCGTATATTTTATTCTGGTTTTTCGAATTTTTACTACAGTCAGTTCTTTCTGCCGCCTCAGTATCTTTTTCCATCACGGATGACGCGGACGAAAATTGTCCGAAGTAGAGGAGATTCGGGTTCCTGTTTGATCTTTGTCGCGAGGCGCAATTTATCATCCTGGTTAGCCTCCTAAATAAAATCGAGTGAGCGAGACTCACCGTGGTGAAATTTGCCATCCCGTTAGAAAGTCTTGTGTGGAATGATCCTTGGCTGTGACACTGCGAAGCGCAGTTGCATACGAACGAGAACAAGAAAGTGTGCGTACATGCCGGCACTTGATGTCGCAGACAAACTTTACCTGCATATTGGATATCTTGTGTTTGTACGCGCGTGCGCGTATAATAAACTCAGTTCATTATATAAGAAACACTGTAACTGAATAACAGAATTTATGTCCAAATGTGTTGAGTTATTATAGCTTTTTTTTTTTCTTTTTTTTTTGATACAAAAAAACGTGAATTGTGTAATTTGTGTAAAACTTACAGGTTAAAAGAGATAGTTTACAGTTTTATGCATGATAATTAATAATGCATGAAAGTAAGAAAATTTATAAAAATGTAAGGGAGGTACGTTATGGATCTACATTAAATGCATGAAAAAAATTAAAAATGAAAGTATTATTTTCTGTCAATATTAAAAATAATAGTACTTTTATTACAATATAATAATAAAATATTGAGAAGCAATGCATTTATTATTTCATTGCTTAAAAATCTTTGAAATTTAGACTCTCGCAAAGAGTCGCAAACACTATATATATATATCACTTCCGCACGGATAGGATGCCTTTATTGTACTTAAAAAAAAGTAAAATCTTAAAAATCAAAAGTTAAAAATGACTGTTATTTAAAAATTCTCAAAATTTAAAAATACTTATTTTTAATTCGACATTATTCATTCATGCATGAAGTTCTAATGAATACAATATTAGTTATTACATTATCAATATAGTACAGATGAATATTTGAGATAAAATTTGTATAATTAGCTTAAATATCTAATCTGACAATCTTATACCCTTTATTAGAAAATATAATTTTTATAATATTCTTAATAAGGTTAGTTTTATCAATAAAACTTATTTCATTGCTAATAGAATGTCAGGAATAATGAACTTAATTAATTCGTTCGATTACCATTATATTAATATATTTATCTCGCTACTTACATATATTCATTTCTCTCTTAAGATTTATATCGATCTATCGATTTACTACACACATTTTAAATACAATGCTTACAATGAAAGTTAGCCCTAAGATTGAATTAGTAATTTTGATACTGAAAGTATATTCATAAATATATAATATTTTTAATGTAAGGCTATGTTTAACAATGGTTAATTAAAATCCAAACTTTTCACATAATTATAATGCTAATTTTATAATAGTAAAAAGTTAAAGTTAAATCTTTCAGAGGCAAATTTATACGCACCATTGCATTATATTAAAAACTTTATAAAATAGATTTAGATAATCTGTTTTAGAATTAACTTCGCAATATGAAATTGAAAACTTCTTATATTCTTATATGTTCTAAATATAATGTGGGAGGGGGTTGGACTTATAATTAACTATGTTACTGATAAATTGGCTGCTCCGTATTTTAGAAAAAATTAGAAAAATGTTGAATAGCGAAATATGATATTGATGTTAAAAAATATATTTTATCTACAAACTTGGTATAAATTCTGCATATTTTGTAGATAATTCAATAAATATGTATTTGTAAATAAAAACAATTTTTGGTCTCTAATGAATATTAATTAATAAGTTTTTTTTGTTTTGTTTTAATAATTACAATAAATTAAACATCATATTGTTTTCATTTAATGTAAGGTTAAATATAATAATAACATTGTTCGTGACTGTCAACCGGTTGACTTTCGATAATCGATGCTACTCGGCCCTTACATTCGTCGTTGTTTATAGATGATAAAGAGCAAAGAAAAAAGATGTGCAAAAGGAGAGAAAGGAGCTTGGGTTTGCATGCCTAAGGGGACGAGACGGTTGATTGATCGCGGAGAAAAGGAGCAGGTAAAGGCATTCGTGATTTACCGATTTTGTTCTTCAGTAGTAAGTGCATTGGTGCAATCTTATGTAAAGGGATAAAAAAAAAAAAAAAAAAAAATGTACAGTCGGACGAGTGGAAATATGACATAGGATTCCAGCCGAATACAGAAATAAGTTATGCGTATCGATGAGTAACATATATCGGTATTAAGAGTTTGTGTGTGAAAAATACTATTCACCGGTAACATCGTTAAACTGATAAAATCGCGCGGTCATAATTACAATACGAGCCTTTCACGTACAATAGAGTTATAAGAATTAATGTCTTTGCGTTATCTGTTTCTTATTATCGCTTATATTTCAATATTTTCTTCGTAACGAATAATTACTCTTTTTTCTTTTTTTTCTCTTTTTTTTCTCAATAAAATCGAATTCATTTAGATTTAAGATCAATTTCACTTCATCTATCGCTTTCCATACAATTTCTTTTCAAATATCAAAGAATCTAACTTGTTGATTGACACCACTGCTTTCGCAGATACTAATTATTTTAATACTTAATTAATCAACGGCTCAACCGACGAATATACGCCTACAAAGTAACAGTTAATTTATAATGGTAAAAAGCATTGAACGCGTATAAATTTATGTACATTTATCGTATAATTATCAAAAAATAAACAATAAAAGTACAACGAACTAAGCATAATTTCACCATTTTACGAATTCTATGCAAAATTATTTATTTTAATCATCTTTACTAACATTTGTCCGGTATTATTTTAACCGTGAGTTGTTTTATGAATATTCTGATTATAAATATTGTTTTGGAAATAAATCAATAGAAATGCTCATAATTATAAAATATATGTATTTTATAAAAAAATTATTGTCTTGTTAATACTTCATGGAACAATCGCTTGAATTAGATAGTTTTAGATAGAATAAAAAAAATGCTTGTTAAATATTATATTAGCGCGCGTGTGTGTGCGTCTGTGTGTAAGAGCCAATAATAGAAAAGATAATTCGTAAATGGATGACGAAGAGAGAAAAAAAATTAATGAACTTCGGCTCGGGCTGCAAGAATAAAAAGCACGGCTGCTCCTTAGAAAATTTATCTTGCAACGTAGTTTTCTCATGGCAATTCCTATATTGGTAGTGAGGCATTTCTTCTTGCCGTTCGTGGCATCATTGCAAATCATCTGCACACTAACGGGAGACTCTATTTCATTGGAAATTGCTGAATTTTCTCGCTCAGATAAAAAGAAGTCTAGCGGCGAGCACAGCTGCAGATAATTCACCGATACACTTCTATTATTTTTTTATTTTAAGCCTTCGGGTAAAAATTTATGTCGCGATAATTTAGTAAGTTCCGTTATTGAACGTCGTCAGTTAACAGTTTGTTCAGCTAATTATTTTTAATGTACTAATCAGGTTACATAGCAGTTCCTTTACTGTTTTGTCGTGTTTTTTTTTCTGTTTTTTTTTTTTTTTTTTTTTTTTTTATAATGGAAAGATAGGGACTCTAATGGACTTGCAAAACGAATTTTTGTTTTTCATCTTATTGTATTGCATGATTTTATTGTCGTTTGTGCTCTTATTACAGTTTATATCTCGTTAACACTCTACTTTACCATTTACGAACAATTATTCTAATTAATGATATAGTTGATAAAGCGTTAAAAAAATCTTTCAAAATAAGCTTCGATATCTGCAGATAATTTTGTGGGATAAAGATGTGGAGCATTCATATTTTATAGATAATTACTTAGAATAAAAATTTGATAGAAAATATTTATCTTCGAGAATTACTTCAATGATATTTTCTATTAATGTCTTGATAAAGAGAAAATAATAATTAGTTTAAATGAAGAAATAAGTTTTAAGGATGTTTGACAAAAATGAATATTTTATTTAAATCTATTTATTACGTGTCAAACAAGATCGAGTCATGTAATGATTTCTATCATCGCGTAATGTAACTTACTAGTAAAGACGAAAATATAATTATTTATACATTATTCTGTATATTATTTGAATTATGTTAACAATAAATTTTTCTAAAAACAAAATCTAATTTAATTTTAATATGGCATTCTTATTTTATATAGTTATGAAGTACTGAAATTGCAAGAACTGAACTCTAAGCTTCTTCGTGAAAAATTAAATCCTTCATTATCGATTTATTAATCAATATTTCTATCAGTATGAAAGATAATTTCCTGTTACCAATAGATTCATCGTCATTCATTTTTTATATTTTCTCATTGTAAGGAAAACTAAAAACTTTTTCATTAGAACAATTATAAAACGAGTGATTTTATTTTTTGTTTACGATACTAACAGTCGTCTATGGTCAGATGGAAGCAAAATATATTATTTTCACGGAAAGATAAAGCACGCATGGAAAAGTACGTATGCAATTTTCTTCATAGAACTCTAAATACTTTTTGTATTCTTAACTCGTAAATTTTATCTCGAATAAGTAGATAAATATCACAAGCCGCGTGAAATCGAGAATTCTGCTTTATCGGATTATTGAAGAGGAAACATTTTAAAGCTTCAGATGGATTCATCAATAATACATGTTTTATATATACGGGCATAAGAGTGTGTGCGCGCGCGCGCGCGAGTAGTATTGTGTAAAGGCCTGTAAAGTGCATAAAAATTGATTTTTTACTTTCTTTACTCTTTATATAGATATAGTTAGTAAGACTCGTGTGGTTAATAATAGATGTTTTTGTTATAAGAGATAATCGAAATATACATTTATACTTTATTATAATGGTATTTAGTTTCTTCTTCTTCTTCTTTTTATTATGATTATTATGATTATTATTATTGTTATTGTTATTGTTATCATCATCATCATCATCATCATCATCATCATCATCATCATCATCATCATCATCATCATCATCATCATCATCATCATCATCATCATCATCATCATCACCAAATAATAACAGACATTACTTTTTCCGATACAATGTATACTTAAAAAATTTATGTGAAAAGCATTATGAAATTATGTTTAAATACATGTATTTCAAAAGGTATCTAAATTTATTGAGCTGTTAAAATGGAAATAATACGTGAGATTTGAGGTATGATTTTTAAATTGAAATGACATTTATATTAAAACAGAAAAAGATAAATTTATT